ACTGTTGTGACGCTGAGAAACCCCAGTGATAATACAATTAAATGTTTTTACATGAGGACCCTCCCGTTCGGGAGCATCGCGAGTGTGGTTCACTTCAACAGGATCTCAAGACTGCTATGGCGGCTGGGCCTCGCTCTGGGAATATTGTGGGGGAATTATTTTGACGATTATCCCTGCATAACTCACAGCGACCATAACACTTCGACGATGGCATGTGTGCAGAGCCTTTTCAAAATCCTGGGTTTTGCTTTCGCCGAAGACAAGTTGTTGCCTTTTGAAGATCGTGCTGAAATGTTGGGAGTGGAGGTTAACCTCGCGAACGCTATGCATGGCACTGTTGTGGTGGACAACAAACCTCAGCGGAAGGTGGAGATATCAGAAGCGATTTCAGAGATCATTTCGGAAGGAGGAATCGTTCCGTCAAAGCTGCCTTCCATTTTGGGGCGCATGCAATTTGCAGACATGCAACTTTCTGGGAAGTTGGGAAAACTTGCGATGGCGGATGTGAGAGAGATGGGAACCGAGTCTAAGGTATTTGTGCCTTTGACCGAAGAGATCCGTAAAGCTCTGTCCATGCTGAAAGTGCGTATGGAATCTGGGAAGCCTAGGGTGCTGCACATTAGCCCAACACAGCGACCGTGGATTCTTTTTACAGATGGGGCGTATGAACCCAACAGAGATACAGCTCCGAATGGATTGGGGGTCGCAACTATTGGAGGGGTTCTTTTTGCCCCGACTGGTGATGCTCGAGTGTTTGGCTGCAATGTGGACGAATCTCTGTTGAGCCAATGGCTACAAGATTTCTCGCACCCAATAGGGCTGATTGAACTGTATGCGATTGCTGTGGCCTACAACCTCTGGGGCCCAATGTTTGGAGACCAGAAGATTCTGATTTTTGGAGATAACTGGGCCGCAAACGATACCTTCATAAAGGGGACCTCCAGCGTCAAAGCATGGCGCAATTTACTGCTCCAGCTCGAACGTTTAGATGACAGTTACAATGCAATGGCCTGGATGGCTAGAGTTCCGTCGGCAAGCAACATAGCCGACCCGCCGAGCAGAGGTTCGATTGAAGAACTCAAAATGTATGCCCCTGTGATTGAGAGCCACATCACATGTCCAGTCACCGGCAATGTTCTCAAAGCTTTCTTGCATGCTGAAGCAGACGAGGGGATACATGCCAAATAGATGGAATACGTTTTGTTCTATCGCCCATGCAAACCAGCCGATCTATGCAGATCTCCAACCGCTGGTGAAAATGAATCAGAAACAACCCCTTGTCCGCTGAAGTGAAAAAGACAAAGCATTGC